TTGTTGTTGTTGTTGTTGTTGTTGTTGTTGACATCATGCAATGGCTCTCCTGAACCATCGGTAAGGAAGGACACCACAGTGCACGGCATTCTTGTTCAAAAGGAACGGAGCATTGATACGCGTGGGTCCTCATGTCGGATCGAGGTTCTCTTGGTTTTTATCCACCCTTGAGTAATCTATCGCGCTCCCAACACTTTGTAGCGCAGAAGATCAGGTCAAAAATTTTGCTGCTACCAACTCTAATCGCGAGGAAAGGTGTCAAAAATTAGTGTGTGTCACACACAACGTTGCCAAGAATCTTTTTTATTAACGAGGATACCAAGAATCTTTTTTTTTAACGAGGATCATAGAAAGAGACTTATGATTGGCGGGGCATTGCCAAGAATCTTTTTTTTTATTTTTTTATTAACGAGGATCCACATGCCCACATTGCCAAGAATCCTCTCCCCACCAATACGTAATGACCCGCATTGTGCGAACCATATTGCGGCGTTCACTGGGAAGAAGGGTGCACTGACGACTTTTTATTAACACATGGCGGCACATGAGAATCCCCGTCTTGGTTCCATATCCCATGTCGCATAAGTAGTGAGCTACTTCCCGTGACCTGTTTTTTTTTATTAACGAGGATCCACATGGACTTCCCGTGACCTGTTGCCACCGCGGGCACACTGACTACGAGACGGCATCCTCGTGCAAAAAGGCAAAAGATATGCTCCTTGTGAGGCTCGAACTCACGACCTTGAGATTATGAGACTCACGCTCTACCAACTGAGCCAAAGAAGCTTCTGTTTCGTGATAGACGACTCCAATTCGTTAATCCAAGTTGGCGTAGCATAAATTTGATCACGTGTACCTTGAGCAAAAAAAACACGGTTTGGTGCAATGTCGCACCATTGATCTGTGCCACAAGCCATGAACTTTGTCCTGCATTCAGAAGCCTCAGTCGATCACAGTGAATACATGGACGTCATCCGGTTTCAACCAATTCACTCATCTGTCAAATCAAAAGATATCTTTTTTTTTTTTTATTATTAACGAGGATCCACATGGGAATCCAAATCAAAAGATATCGAGAAGCGCATACATGGGTCTTTTCGCCTATCGAACGTGTTCTCCATGTCGATACAACGAGAAAAATGGGGGTTTTAGGTCAAATTGGAATAAGGTTTGAAAGTTAGTGGCGTTCACTTATTTGGCGGGCCTGCGATACTGCCGAGCCGGGTCGATTTGGGCTTGGTAAATCGTGGCGATATTCTCGGAACCGACGATATCCCGATCGAAAAACGCCAAGAAGTTCCTGCAGTACCGTGACCTGCGCACGTCAGACTCCAGAAAGGAGTTGCAACCGTCCCGGGGACACTTTGCGCTAGTGTAGTACTCGTGTATATACACCTACGACAGTGTACCCGAGAGACTTTGCCTTTTCGATGGTTGAAAAGAGAAGGCTACAAGTTAGAATGCACATGCCTACCAAAAAAAACAAAGGTGCTTACCCTTGTGACAAAGCGCCTCTCAAAGGCAGAGTGCTTACTGGGCAACCCCCTCTCCCCTCTGCGTATCAAACATCCCTAACCCGATGACAAAGATCGCC